TATTCGGCCGAATAGTGAAAAATAGGCCAAATAGGCCGAATACCGAATAGTAACCGAATATTCGTTACATCACTAATATATATGATTCACTCACTGACACAAGATGTTTGAATAGAAGCAATATATTATATCAGAGTGTTATCAGAAAAATATTTTACTTTTTCAAGATCTCTCTTGATAGAATTAACTGTTGATATGGAATTTTTTACTAAATACTATCTAATCAGTTTTCAAAATGTTTATTAATGTAGAGCAGATTAACATTTATTTTAAATTATTATATTTTCTTTTGGAAAATACAAACAAAGTTTCGTATAATCCACAATACCAAAATATTTACTTAAAAAACTTAAATACTTAACTAAGTAAACAATTAGGTGTATTATGTAAACTTTGTATTTTCTGTTCATTCTCAACAAATACCAGAAAATTAATTTAGTATATGTTTTCTTTTGTTTTATTATTCACTATTTTTTATTAAAATTTTTTATATGTAACTTAAACACAATAAATAGTCTCTTGATAACTAGCACAGTGCTAGTTATCAAGAGATTTTACAATTTTGGCATGAGTTTTTATTTATCTACTAGCTGCAAGGACCCGCTTCGCTGGGTTTTTATTTGTTCGTACATTTGTATGTAATATAGTTTTTTTTATATATAAAAGACTGTTTTTCTAAGTAATCTAGAATCTAGCTGCAAGGACCCACTTCGCTGGGCAAAAAGTAACGATAGTGAAGATTAAGATAATTACATTATAACCAATCTTACCCGTTTTCACAGAATGCAAGAATTAGGTCCCCTGTTTCCAGACTAATTAGAGAATTTTTACATCCAGTTAAACAAACTATTTTCAATTTGATCAATTTTCTGGAACGTTTACAATCGTTCTATAATCGAACCAATTCGAATTCGAATACAAATTCGAAAATTTTTTAAATCGAAATAGAAAACCACTTTCAACCACTTTCAGCCCCATATCTCCCGCACCCTTATAGCTATCGAGACGCAACCACCATAGTGCACAAATGGAGACTTGGGACTACTACCACATACAAACACCATTCATGTGCGATGTGTAGTTTTGGCTGAAAAGTGAAATATAGGGAAACACACGTCCATTTTTATATATATATAGATTTCTATAAACATAATAAATAATATATAAAGCTAATATTGTTTACAAAGAATTGTTATAAACTACAGAAACTGCAGTGAAAATTTTGAAGTGATAATAAATGCATGAGTTGAGCATTTTATGAGTTAGGGGCAGAACATTTAGTTTTATACACTATATTATATGTTATTGAAATAAACTAGTCAGGCCAATTTTTAAATTCACGTAACAATATTCTAATTTACATTCTACAGATACAGTAAACAATTATATCAAGTAAAGTTGGCATTTAATATGTGACTACAGGTATACCTTGACTTACGTTGTTTCGAGTTATGTCGTTCCAGATTATATGTTGTTTGTCAAAAAAGTATATGGAAAAATAAAAATCAAGTTTAAGTCATTTTATTCAACTTTATGTCTGTCCACCACAAATATTGAAGTTATAATATCACTAGAAAAGCATTTAAAGCACATAAAATCATATTAAAATATATACATTTACAAGTATGTACTGTATTTACAGTACATGCATTCGTAAATTTAGATTACTTTTTTCTGTACTATATTAAAAACTAAAATTTATTTGNGAATATTTTTCTATATCTCTGTCTGCACTTTTTTCCCTATTTCTTGTTTTAGATGTAGTGTCAGTTGCTAAATTTTTCCCTTTTACAATTCCTTTTTAGTAACTACATTTTTACTTTTCCCATTCAAAATATTACTACTTCTCTACACCTTGTTTCTTGATTTCTTCACAAGAACATATTTGAGACAGACAATTTTCAGATAACACTATCTGTTCATTGAAAGATGGTCTCAACAAAAGCAGGAATCCTTATCCCATTTGCTTTCTACATCAGTTCCAATCAGCCACATTTCTTAGGCCAATAGAGTAGTCCAGTTCATTTTGTTGGTTTCTATCATGCCAGTCACAAGACTTCTCACCTGAATATATAGAGTTGGTTATTGATATTGAGAGGAAAATAGCCCTATTTATATCTAATCTAGAAGAAAACAAATTTTGTGCAAAAGTAGTTGTATGAAGTTTGTCAAATAAGCAGCATGAATATTTATTTACATCAATAAATCATAGTTTTGATATTTAAGAAGTCATAAAGCATGTTTATTTGCTTAAACTTAAATTAACTGTATCTTGCTAGTGGGTTAAATAGAAAAAATTTTTGCTTAATTTACAAAAAATATTCTGCTTTATAAAATAAAATAAATTTTTGAAGTGTTATTCATTTCCTAATACAAAAGTTTAATAAAGAAAGATAACAATATTCAAGAACTAAAATCCCTTCTAAAAATTTTGTGCACATATTCTTTTATGTAGTCACATCTTAGCTACTTTTTAATCTTAAAATAACATTTAAAAGAATGTTCCAGCTTCACTATTATTCGCTTTCAACGTCATTCATTACTGAAAGTATTTTATTTAATGAATAACATAAAATAATGGAAAATTTGAATAATTTGTATCAATCAAATCTAAATACTTATAAAGATTCATTCAAAAATTAACTAATTTAATAATCTGATTATTAATTACAATAAATCTTTGTTCAATAAAAGTGTACAATTTCATCAATGGCAATCATTTTTATAATAAATATGATACAATAAAAAATTTTTAATTCTATTTTATTAATGAGGGTTTTAAACAGATTTTTGGAGTATTGTGTATCCATTATTTGAAAATAATGGGTACACAATAACATACCTTTAACAAATATAAATATTCCATAAAATGTAAGAGATTTGATCTACCTATTCACATTACTAAGGAAGGATGACCTACTAACAGGATAATGATTAAAATACATTTACAAAAGAAACATCTTTATAGAAACATTCAAATATCTTTACATCTTTTCCTTTCAATAATGTTTCTTGTTTTCACTTTTTCAATTTATATAAATAATTACAGTACAGTACTTACTTTTAATTTCATGGTCAATAAAATCTTCTTCTTTCATTAATATCTATTATTAAAAAATAATTTAATGGATTATTTTTAATCAAAGTAATTTCAAGATTAAATACATACTTCTTTCAAATTAAAAAAAGAATATCCAATATCTTCACAGTCCATATCTTGGCGATCTTCAGGTGGTTCACTTACAACAGTGAACATTAAACTAAAATAAAAAAAATATTAGAATATAAATATTCATGTTTTATTTTAATTCTAGAAGATATCCATTAAGAATATATGAAACCTATTTTCTTCTTCTGTTTCAGACTGTAACATGTTCTTTAACTTTTCACGTTTGTCAGCATGGATGACATCAAAATAAAACACTGAATTAGAAAGCATAGTAATTAAATTATAGTAAAACTTAAAATTTTTTAAAAATTAAAATCAAATTAAAAAATAATTAAAACAAGAATACATTAATGGTAAGTCTACAAAGTTTTTGATTGGTAGTAACAATAAAAAATTTTATCATGAATAATACTTGAATGTAAAATTCTAGATTTTGATATTTATATACTAGAATGAAGGTGAAAATATATAGTTTAATTCCAAACATTTTTCTTATATTTTGATATGTAAAGCTCATTGAGCATCTAATGAAAACTTATATAATAAATGATTTTATACAGTGTTAAATATTTCTGCAATATTTTTATTATTGCAAGATTACATGTTTATTAAGAGAGATTGCTGACTATCAGTTTATATCATTTCACTCCAGCCAAAGGAGGTCAACGTTTGCAATGGAACTCCAGTTAAGATTTTAATGCTGCCAAGTGTTTTAGCAACTGTTTTTTTATTTAGTGTATATTTATTTGATCTATTTTTTAAATAATAATTTCTTACAATTTAAAAAAATTTTTTACAACTAAAATCTCGGTAATAATATATTAAATCTTAGCAAAAACGATATTTTTTATAAAAATTATATTAAAAACACTAGTATAATAAGATGGATATGGAAAATTATATTATTGAAGTTAATTTTAATCTAATTTGTTTGTTTGAGCATTTTATTTGGTATAAAATACAATAAAGTAATTAGAGTTTCAATTCAGAATCAATACATTTTTTTATTATTTTATAAAATAAATGTTTTATGCTATGCGTAACTATTCTTAGTATCTATTTAATTTTGAAATAATAAAATAGAAATACATTTATTATTTTTTGCGTGTGAAAGTAATGTAAATTCATTTATATGTCATTAAGATGCTACAATAATTTACAAATTTTTGAAATTAGAAATTTTCAACTTNAAAATGTTTATATACTGATAATAAACAAAATACTTTACTATTTTTGATTCTGTATTCAAATTTTTAGGGTTTATATTTCAATTTTACTTAACTAAAACTATTAATAAATAGTTTATTTATTTTTCTTTATTGGCAGCATAAAATCAGTTTTACAGAATATACATCAATAAAGTAGAGTGGTGCCAATGGATGGCTGATAGTAAAAAATTTGTTTTTACAGCCTCATAATAAAACAAAGCAAAAAAAACAAAAAATAATCATAATAAAGTATAAATATAAGATCCTAATGGCAGATGTGGAAATAACAAATTAAAAATCATACATTACTTGTTTTTATTTCAGGGTTTAAGATACTCCAGTATGCTATTGCTCTTTAATAAATGATCTTTGTTCTTTCAACAAGGAAATACTTTTATGTTAGCTATGCTAGTTATTTGATCAATTACAAACTAATTTGATAGTTAAAATTTTTTCTTTTTATTCTGTTTGAAATGCAAATTTTAATTTATGTTTTTAAATTAAATATAAGCAACATAAAATCTTATTAAAATTATTATTAAAAATTCAATTCAAAATGAAATTTTCAGTTAACGTTCAAATTAATGTGTCAATTTCTTTTATAAAATTAATTTATTACATTTAAATTTAATATTGAACAATAACAAGGTTTGCATAAAACTGAAAACGTTTTAAAATGTTTAAAATGATTTAAGTTTAAAAAAAGTTTTTACCTAATAGATTAGCTTATTTATTATTTTATAGTTTAATTAATTTAAAAGTATAAAATGATGTTTAATTATTATTTATAAAATATGAAAATTAAAAATTTTATCAAAATTATTTTCAAACTTTTACTTAAAACATAATATTTTTCCAACAGCATAAATAATTTTAATATAAAAATCCAAAACTATATATACTTTTTATACAGGCTTATTTAAACAAAAAACAGCATTATATAATTAAATATTTGTAAGTTCAATCAATAATTTGTTTTAATTAATTTGTGATATATGAATCAAAATAACCTGTAACATATGTGTCACCAAAAATGGTTTTTGGTAATAATTCTCTCTGACAATCACAACTGTCAATCAATTTATCATCATCCATAAGCTTATGAAAATACTTTTCATTTTTTATTTTATTTTTTCAATTCTTTTTAAAAACAATGAATTCATGAGTATAATTAAGTCTCAGTTGTCAGGATGAGAGATGCATCATTCCCTAATTGATTTTACCTTCTAGCATTACTATACATTTTCATATAGACAAGCAAGTATCAAAGCAAGCAAGCAATATGTATCAAAGAAAAATATAACATACCAGAGGTATAAACTCACATAATCCTACTTATGTGAAATATTAAATTGTCTGAGCCAAAATAAGCACTTACAACAAAGATATTTCTTATTGCTATAACATATATAACATTGAACATGTATTAAATGCATACATACAGCTTCACTAGACTAAGATAAATTATTTAAAGTATAAAGAAAAGCTGTATTTTATTGAACACAGATTTGATATGCTTTCGCCATTATATAGAAAGGATATATGTGCCATGGTGTTACTATTCATGTGAAAAAGAATTTAAAATTTAAAATATTTAATTCAAATTATGAACTTTGTTTATCTATTAGTAAATTATGGTGACTAATAGATACAGTTTTGATTTATATGCTATAGACCAACAACAAAAATTAGATTTGGATGCATGATACTCCTGGTCTATACCATAATAATAAAAATAAAAGCAAAAAAGAGAAAAAATTTCTCCATTTAAAAGTTATTCAGAAATCTTACTCACCATAAATGAATCTACAATATTTTTTTGAAAATCATATGCAGAATGCCAATATATTGCAACATCTATTGTGCCACAATTTTTTCCATCTGTCTATTAAACAATAAATTTAATTAGATAGAGTACCTTCATTATTGTTTTATTTATGGATCAAATATTTTTAAAGTTAAAAATTATTTAACAAAAATCAATTACATTTTTTAATTCATATATCCCTTGTATTGGTTTGTTCTGAGTAAGAGGAAAAAGTGAAATTTGTGCTCTTCCTAGATATGAAGATGGCTCTAAATCTGTATCATCAAATACATATATTTCCATATTCTGAAATAAATTTATAAAAATTTCTTATAATTAAAAAAATAATAATACATTATATTTAATTTAATTCTGCTTGATTTTAAATATATATAAATTATAAACCAAATGGTTTCATAACAAAGCCTTATTGTTTTAGATTAACTGAAGTTATAATTTCAATGTCTAGCCACACAGTATTTACATTTGAAGAAAGATATTGAAGTCGTTAATATATATATTTAGTAACTTAATTGTAGAGAACAATAAAAATATAATTAATATAATGAAGATCTTATTTTAAACAAAAAAATGTTTTAAATTCCGAAAAAAAACATGCTCAGAATTAACCATAGAAATTTCAAGATAATCATTAAATTTTTGAGTTTAAATTAAAAATAAAAAAATTAAACGACAAAATAGAAAAAAATAATACAGATAATTATTATTACTAATATGCTAGCCTTTAAGCCTATTAAATATGATGAACTAATTGAGGGAAATTTTTGAATTGAATTCATGTGACTTCTGGTTTCCCCTGAAAGGTGTTAGATACATGACTAGCACAACTCTATTGTTAAAGGAAAAGTATAATGTACAGGGGCAAGACACTACTAATTTGAAATGGAGAGCATATATTTTAATTTTCAATTAATTTTGAATAAATTAAAATATAATTAAAAATTGCAAGATATTAATTATACTTTTATTTTTAACATTAGATAAAAATGAAAATACAATAACCAATGACAAATAAATTCAATAAATATAAAAGTTATTTCAATTTTAAACAAAAATATTTATTCTGCTCTTTTAAAATTTAATATGATCAAATGTAAAATGTGATACAAAATTTTAAAAATAATATTTTAATTCACAAAATCACAATCTGAGAACTTTATGATGCTTTTAATACTACTAAATATTAAAGAAAATAAAAATAATTTATATATCTAATTTTCAAAAAAGAAAGAAAAAAAAATTAAATAAATAATTGAATTTTCTAAATATATATATATATAGTTCTAATGGTTTAGTGTAGTTCTAACATTAAGTCATCTTACATTAGACTAAATTAATTAAACAAAAATTATATTTTCATAAATTTGAAGAGACATTTTCAAGAGATATTGACTTTGTATAAAATAAAAATTATTATTTGTAAACAATTATCAGTTATGCAAGTGTAAATGTTAATCTTTCATTGTAATCAATAGATTTCATATATTAGTAAATTTGAGAAATAAAATAAAGATATAAACATAATTTGAAAATTACTTGATTCCTAAGATAGGTATCCAAATCTTCAGATATTACTAGAGGAAAAGATTTATGATCATGAAACTCTGGATTATTTGATGAAGGAATAATAGCTGTATCCTGATCAGGTAAGTTATAAAATTTATATACACAGTATGGAGATGGCTGTTTATCTGCAAAAACATTTTTAATGTTAGATAAACATATTATTTTAAATGTAAATAGAGGAAACCCTCACTAATCTGCTATTCTTTGTAAAGAGGGATGCCAGATTACAGTGTGTATAGGCCTAAAGGCAATGATGTGACCTGTCACCCTTCAGTACAAATTCTTTTCAGAGTCAAGCAAGCAAATAATACAACATAATGAAATGCTAAATATTTTTACTTCTTATCTATGATTAATATATCTATATTTGGCAGACTTATTACATCTTGTAGATCAAGTGATGAAAATGGTAAAGTTTGAAATGCATTTCCAATGTTAATAAAAGCATATATTTTTTGGATCTGATCTCTGACTTAATTTTCATCACTTGACCTACAAGTTGTGATAAGTCTGGAAAAATCAGCCAAATTTAGGCCACTTCAAGATAATGAAATGCAATAATATACCCAGAAATGAAACGTGAGTAAATAGAAAAACAGGATACATTTTTACTAACATTTTCATGTTAAAATAGAAGTGTATAGGCAATCACACTGGAGGGTATGACAGATAATTGAAAGATCAGATTATTGAGTCTACTATATTATTATAAATACATGTATAAAGTAAGTTAATATGAAACAATTTTATCTTTAACAACTTTAAGCATCAAATAAATATAAATATTCTTTTAAAAATTAGCATTTAACTGTTACAATAAATTTCTTCTTTTAGACTTCAATTAATCATTAAATTCAGAGATTTTGAATACTGAGTATAGAAATATTTTCATTTAAAAGTTATTGATTAATAAAGTTCCTTGGAAGAAGGATCAATATTCTGAAAGTAGTTTATCATATTTAAAATTTAAATGGGCTTATTTTATGTAATTAATATTTTAATTAAAAAATTGAAAATAAATGTTACCAGTATTTTTTCCTTGTAATTCATTACAGCACAATATTTTTATATGTAATTCATTCACTTTGTTTTCATTTGATTGCTTTTGTTTAGAATCGAGTGTTTTTAAGGCAGTTTTCACGATACTTTGATTATTTCCTAAATATCCTAAGGCTTTACAACGTTCCTGTATAAAAATAGAATAATGTATTATATTAAAATATCAAAATTTCAACAATTATTATGAAATAAAATCATATTCATGTTTATTTTATTTTGATCAAATATATCTTTTTCTATATATATAATGTTTACATTAATGATAATAAGATATTTTATATCAATATAAAATATCTATCACACAATGATATTTATTAATGTAAATAATCTAAAATTTACTAATGTACAAAGTTTAACAATTATATTCCATAATTACACAAATTTAAAAGAAATTATATACTAAAATAAAAAAAAAATTTTAATAATGTTTAAATGATCATAAGAAACTATCAACTTTGTGTTAATGTGTTAAACTATCAACTTTAAATGATCATAAGAAACTATCAACTTCATCACAAACTATCAAGTTTGTGTTGTTTGCTTCATTAATAAAAACATTTCTTTGCATTTAATATCATTACTTTCTACATTTTCAAATAATTTTCTTTTCAGTATCAATTTTATTTTAAGAAAAATAAACAGTTTTGCAGAAAACAGTTAAAAAACATAAGGGCTACATAGAGACTGGATCAGCATTTTTCTGATAAAAAATTGTATAAAAAGTTAAAAAAACAGTTTGAACAAGATAATGAAAAAAATAAGAAACAATGTTTTATTTCTGTAAATGTTTCACTTTTCAAGAAACTTTAGCACTACAACTGCAAAACTAAAACTAATTTGCATCATTTTTTTTCCCTAAAAATCACATCAAAATTTTACAAATTGTTTCCTTTTTAATGATAAATTGTTGTTTTACTACATTCAAAAAATCAATTTATGAAACTGTTTTGATTATTTCTGAGGTTTTATTCTATTAATGATCACTTACAGTAGCATTTATCAGCTTTAAGATTTTCAATGTAATTATAAAATACACAAATCACTCAAACATGTGAGCAAAAAAAAGCACCATAATTATACTATTTCTTTACAGTTCTTAAATTTCAATACTTTGCCTAAATTGCAACAAGTTATAACATTTATAAACTGATACATTTTTACAACCAATGATAAACAACAAGCAAATCAAAATTAAATTGTTGTAGATAAAGTGAAAAAACTAAACAAAATATAAGAATTTAGTTATGAATTAAAAAATTATCAAATAAATAGCTGGATTCTTTATTGAGCTAATTAATTATTAAGTAATTTGACAAGAGGTAGGTAGTAACACTGCTATCTTGTGTTCAATTTAATTTAGAATATTCCAGAAGAGATGATTGGCCTGGATTGGAACTTGAACCTGCAACTCCTGCTTTTCATGCAGAAGAATTGCTAATTACATTATCCAGACCTCTGTCCAGTCTTCATTTCCAGAATCATTAATTAATTTAGATATAACTGTACTTAATATTTAATTAGCACAACAAAGAATCTGGCTGTTTTGATATTTGAGTTATATATAAGTTATTAACATTAAATATTAACCTTTACATTTGTCATTATTTTATTTTAAAATTAGAAATGTATTATTACATAAAATTTTATTTAATTGAAATAAATACCTTATAAAGAGTTATAGCTTCATCCATGGAAATTTGTAGTCTTACCCAATACTCAAGAATACCATACAAAATATTTGTTTCACCATCTTTACAACCTAAATTATATAAAATTTAAAATGTAGCTTTTATAAACAAAACTTTTAACTTAAACTTAAAATTGTAATTTTAACAACAAATAAAACAGAAGTAGATGATTTTTACCTATTAATTCTAAAGTATCATGACACCTATCATGAGGCTGTTCTAATAATTTGTTAAATGTCATCTCACATGTGGCTACTGTATTATATTCTAAACCAATAGCTTGATGAAGTTCAACTCTAGCTGTACCCTAAACATAAAGTTTATAAATTTAAATATTAGATATATGAGAAATAATCAATAAGTTATGCACAATATTTTATTGCAGTAGTACCATTGCTAGTAGAGTAGTGAAGCCTTAGTCAGGAATAAAATGAATCTCCCTCTACAGAAAGTTAGGTCTGCATGAAATGTCTGTGTAGTGGTGCACAAGAGAACTAGCTAGCAAAGATGGCAAGTGTGTTGGCATCATCCATGCCACTTAAGCAATGAGCTGTTATATGTTTTTGTGGACTAAAGGCAAAATGTTCACTCAAATTCACACAGATGAAAGAAGCATAAGAACCATCTGTATTGACCACAGCAACATAGTGAGATGGTGCAAGTTTTTTTCTGACAGATGAGACAACCTCAGTGATCAGCCATATCCTGGCTGTCCAGTAAGAACTGTAACAATGTCACTGTGTGAATTGATGAAGTAATTCAGACAGATGGCCATATCCACCCACAGACTAACCAACCTTATGAACATTTCCTATAGAACAGCTTACAATGCTGTCCACAAGAAACTGTAGCATTGCAAGGCCAGTGCCCAATAGATCCCTAAGCAATTGAGTGCAGAGCAGCAGGACATGAAAATAATGACATCATTAGACCATCTGCAGCAGTTCTACTGAAGGAAACAGGTTTTTCAAAGCATAGTGATTGGCAATTAATCATGGGCCTACAATTTTACATCAGAAATGAAATAAAGCAGTATAATCTGGAAACATTCTTAATCCCCACTGGCAAAGATGTTCTGGGTTAGCCAGTCTGCCAAGAAGGTCCTTGTTATGATGTTCTTGGACATCAAGGGTACGCTACTTGTGGAATTCTTTCTCTACAGATCAACTGTTACCACTGCAGTTTACACAAAAACTGCAAAAGGTGCACTATGCATTTCACCTGAATAAAACCCTACAGATGTGTACAGTTTCACATCTCCACAATAACACATGTCCACATTACTTGAAAGGATTTAATGAAGATGTTTATAGTTTCTTCTAATTTTTAAATATTAATGTCATCCTGGCCAATGTATTAATTAATATTTTTTCATTCTTTTATAATTGTGCCATCACCTTGAAACTTTTAAAATGTTTTTTGAACATTAAGATGAATGAGTAGCCTTTAATAAAAGGTTGGCATCACCGGAAAAAACAGTTGTTTCTGAAGTCTGCAAAAGGACATAATAAAGAATTTTATAGTTTCTTCTATTTTTAAAAATTGTTACGCTTGTGTCATGATGTGACAAATGCATCAACAAGAATGGTTCATATGTCAAAAAATCTAATGATTGACCTATGCTGTCACCTGCCTTAATTTTGCATTCATAGTAATAAATCTTGCTTAAAAAAATTATTGTGCATTACTTATTGATTCTCCCTTGTATAATAAAAATTTTAACTTATGTAATACAGTAAAACCTGTCTATGGCAACCAACCACGGTTCTTTCAAAAAATGGTATTTTAGACAGGTGGTCATCCAATACAGGTGGTGCTGTAATACCATATATCTGTACGTATTTTGTGCACTTTTTAGCCATTTCTACTAAGCAAAACTTGAGGTGAGCAAAAATAAGCGAATTTTTTCAATGATAGGGCTATATTGGTATTGTATTTTATTCTTATCGGATAACTCAATTTACAGGAGTTGTCCTGATTTTATAAGACAGATTTAATACCAATATTTTAAAGATTAATACAATAGTCGCATTTTCTCAATTATAATGCACACTTTTTTTTTTCTGACTTAATTAATTCAACTTGGTTGTTTTCATTCTCTCCTCAGTTACGTGTATTACGTTATTGATATACAAGTGTGTTGTATCTCTACATCACTTTGGTTTTGGTATTCGTTAGTTTAATCTTATTTTAACTTTAAAAATACCATAGTTTTTAATATTTTCTTAAGTCATCAATATACAAGTGTGTTGTATCTCTACATCACTTTGGTTTTGGTATTCGTTAGTTTAATCTTATTTTAACTTTAAAAATACCATAGTTTTTAATATTTTCTTAAGTACAATAAGAAAAATTATTAATTAATAATAAAATAATTTTATTATTTTTTCTCATTATACAATTTCATTACATTCTGCGATTGTCATTGTGGAATCGAAAAAGGAAGATTGCCTGTAAAACTGATTTTTGCATTAATGCGTTTATTGTTTTTTGAATATTTTGTNCTACTGGCTTTGAGTGCCACAGGATCAAATCTAAGTAATCAATCCAAGAAAATCCAGAAGCTGATATGTCTTGGATATGTCAGACCTCATTCTTTACCCCCCAGTTGCTCTCATTGTGAGCCTGGTCAAGCACATGATGGTATAATTCAAAAGGGACAAAGAGAGGGAAAGTAAGGAAATTTGCATTTAACAAAAAAATAAAAAGTTAGCACAGGTACAACAAACACAATCAATAATAATTTGTGAAAGTGAATACTGATTGTAAACAATTAAATTCTAATTTTTTTAATCATTATTTTTTTTTTATATTTAGTTTTAAGATTTTATTTATTCCAAATAAGAAACTTTATACACATTTAGTCTAGATGACATTGCTCTTAAAAATATAGTATCTCAAATTAACTACTTTTCAAAACAATTTGAGATTATATTAAAAAAGAAGTTATCTTAATCAAATTGTTAAGAATTAATAAAAAGAAATGTCAAAGACAATGGTAGAGATATTTATTTATTTACTGCAAATGAGTAATTATCATTTCAATATACAATTTTTCAATAATGAAAAATATAAATAAGGAAAACAGTACAAAGTAATGCAACATCACTTCAAATAGAAGAGAATAAAGCATGAATGATAAAATAGAGTAATGAGTCTCTCTCAATAAGTATTGAGAAGTAAAATTTTTCACGAGATGACAAGCAAGCAGTTATTGAAATGAAAGAATTTTTTTTTTCAGTTTTTCATGTATCAACTTGTAAACAATAGTTGTAAAAATTAGAATTTAAGTTTAAATTGTCATTCTTGTTTATTGGAAACTTTAAGAATAAGTTATCTCACAATTTGTATTAATAAGTAAAAAAGTTTATTAACATTGATATCCAATCACTATTACAAATGTAATTTCTTCTGTTATAAAGCATGTTTCTAATGCAAACATTTGTTCATATATGACATATAAATAATCTTATGTAAATGGTCTATGTAAAGATCTTGAATAAAAAATAATTAATACAGAATACTATGTCAAGTTTATGAAAAAACTTATTTTTTATCAATTTTAAAATAAGATAAAATTCAGACACCTACCCAATTTAAATAATGAAGAAAAAAATCATCAGCAGTTATGATATATTGAGAAGTACTGTTATATTTTGGCCTGCAAATGAAAGAAATTAAATTATACATTGTATAATAAATACTGTTTAAATGCAATTCAGTAGTCTCAGCTGTAGATCTTATA